TATATTAAGATGTAGTTAAAGAAGAACACGCACATAGTGAACCTCATTAAAAATTGCGATTTTAAATCATATAATTTATATTAATTATAATATATATATATAATATCATTTAATAAATGAATAAAAATGCATTGTTCACAGTTGTTGCTTTAGACATTGTTTTTTTATACTGACAGTGAGTCAAAACAACAAATATATGAATAAACCAAAAGGGATGAAATAGTTAACAAGTTTCTTTTTTTTAAATTTAAATAATTCAGTAAAATTTAATAATTATTAATATTACAATAAGATGAAAATACACATCGGTTCCATTAAAATAATATCTCCAATGAAACGAAATAGCAATTATTTGTTAAAATAATAAAATTCAATATGTTATAAGCTATTTGATTATATCATTTAAAAGACTACATACTATATACAAATGTTTATACAATCGCCTGGATTTATATTTTAGAATTACCGTTTGCATACAAATCATACAAGTATATTTTCAGTCACACCAAAAAATGTCTAGTTTGAAGAAAGGATCTTTATACTTTCTTAAGAACATTTTATAAGTGGTCTAGAGAGAGCTTCATAAATGCACATATTGTATGTCTGAAGAATTGCAGTTCTTTCAGTACTTTCAAATAGATTAGTTAGTGCAAGTGAAGTACATCATTTAAACAATTTATTGCTTTCCTCCACCGGTATGGAACCTTCCAAACGGAACCTAAAAATTAATTACACATGGATTAAAAAAGATTTGGAATTCATTCAATTCGCCATTTTCAGATTCATTTTTATAATTCCATTCCTAGTGGCCTGTGGTCTATGCCCTGTGGCCTGTTGTAACGAAAAAGTATTCATTTTGAACTTTATAAAAAGTTCTTCATATATGAGCTTTTGAGAAATCTTCAAAAATGTGCAAGAAGTTTCTACACAATAGAGTCTATTAGGATGGTTTTGGTTGCAAGGGTTAATTATATGATAAATGATAAACAGAAAGGAAAATAATCCATATATTTGAAACCTCGTCATCTAGAACCAATTGTTCTGATCTGTCGAACTATTATACAAATATTCTACAGAAATGTTCAAGTCCAGCGGTTTTTTTATTATTTTATTATATTATTTAGTTTATAGCTCGTAGGTATAACTTTTTTCCTTATATTATTATTGTTATAAGAAGAGACAATGGTATATTACGATCTATGCAATCTTCTTCGGTATTCCTCAACTAATTTGATGATTTTAAATCTATTGATAAACCTAATAATATCTCTTGGTCTCAGATCTCAGACCTTAATCAGTTCAATGCCAGTATAACAGTTTGAAAATATTTTTTTTTTGTGTTTGGTAAACACACGACTCGTATTATTAAAAAATTATTTAAAAAAAAATTACATTCATATTTTTAAAATATGAAAAAATAATAAAATAAAAAAGGTAATAAAATGAGAGAAAGTTTAAGTTTTAATTTTATTCAATAAATATAATTTTATTTACTTGTTTTTATATTATTTAAATATTTTTCATTTAATGTTGTCATATTTTATTTTATTTGATATAATTTTATTTACTCAGATTTTATTATTTTTACTCTATTCTATTCTACTTCATTTTATTTTATTTTATTTTAATTTTTTCTGTATAATTTCACATAATATTATTCAATAAATTTTTTTTTTTTTTTATTTAATATTATTTGAAAATTTATTTTAATATATTTTAATTATATCTCAAATTATTCAATTTTGTTTTATTTTTCTTTATTATATTTTTTTTTATTTAATATTATTTTATTTCGTTTCACATAATTCGGATATAATTTCTTAATTTCATTTATTATATTTTTTTTTGTTTCGCTTTGATTTGAATTTTTGTATTTAATTTTATCATAAACTATTTTGTTTTATTTTGAGTTGTTGCTTTTACAATTTTACTAGTAATCAAGCAGATTTCAAGATTTCAAAACTTCAAAAAAACTAATAACGATTTTCGGATCGTTATTAAAAAAGTTATAGAAGCTCTTAGTAGTCGCTTCAAGTGTGAAATCTCAATTTCTGTATAAAAGTAATAGCTAAATATCACGAAACCACTTCCACCACAACGACATATATTATATCAACACCCTAATATAACACCCTGCAATATTTATTAACATCCTAAATTTACATGTCATTTTGGAGTAGCGATGAACTGCAAAGTAACACTAATAGAAAGTTTTATAGAAATATCTTTGTTAATTAAGAATATATGATATTTTTACAGGCAAGTCTTAATTCTAACACACTGTGCGGCAGAGAACCCTTTTCGATCCTATGACCTTTCAGCCCCGCACTCTTACAGCTGATCGAGTTTTGGAAACTCAAATTGGAAACTTTTTTCCTCTATCGACAAAGACACGTGGTATATAATATGAATATATGCTAGAAGTAGAAGGAATTGAACGATGAAAACTTAAGTTAATATATGACATACAATCACTCTTTTTCTAATATTTCTGAATATCACATCAATTTTTATATTTTACATTGAAGTCACACTTGGGAAAGAAATTTTTTTAAATTCAAATTAGTCTTAAGAAATGGTTCAAATTTCACTATCTAGTATATCTCGATATCGTGTTAAAATCTCCAATTATTATCACTCACATTATATTACTAAAATAAAATTTATGATAGTGTTGTAGTCAATGATATACATTTTCGAATAGTGATTATATTTTTCCATTCAAACAAAGGTTGTTAAAAGGAACTCACAAGATTGATCTTTATTTAAATTATTTAAATTCATTGCACTATACATTTAATTTAATTCATTCATAATTTATTCATAAATTAATATAATTTTATTTTTTGGATATCATCATTTTAGCATATGGATATATATTCTTTTTGTAATTAGAAAAAAATGTAATTATATGTTATTCAATAATTGAGTATAATTAGTAACGATTTGTTAATCGCTTTTTGATAAAAAGTAATCAAGATATCAATAAAGCATTGATTATATATTTAAAAAGAAGTCATTTCATAACGGCCACCCCTCTAAATATCAATACCACGGGAATTTTTTTTTTCTCATCAAAGTTTGTGAACATTTAACGAAGATCAACTGGAACTCCAAGGCCAGCTTCTTCCAAAATACGTATTAGATCTTTCACAACAACCGGATCTTTCAGCACATCGAGTTTTTCCAACACGGTGAACATATTCCTCAACGTTTTGCTTAAAATCGTGGTTTAAAACATGCCTAAGAGAGAAAAGAATCATTTTATACACTTAATTTTAAATTCTAACACACTTACATTATGTCTTCTATGTTTAAGCGTCTTGAAGCCAGGTCCGTCGCCACCAAGCAACAACCACCTGACGCCAAGTCAGCAAGTGCTTGTTTGCGATCGACCTAAATGAAGTTTATTTATATTTTCTAGAATTTCTTGCAGAGATATTACTCTCCTAATCATTTTCAGAGTTACTGAACCCGTATTTGTGTTTTTATATAACTCACCTGTTCCCGTGCACCATGAACACATTCTGTAGACACACCTTTTATGAATAAGTCACTAGATAAATCATCAGCGTGAGCTCGCTTAGAACAGAAGACAAGAACCTTATCGCTTGGCTTAAGCTTAAGGTTTTAAAGAAACACAAAAACCTATAACAAAAAAAAATAAAAAAAATGCTTTTATTTTTTCTCTAATTTAAGTTTGAAGAAATTCGCGTTTCAATAATATAGGCCATGCTTGCTTCTTAATAGGCGCTGGTGTGTCAAACTTTTGCTTCCCTGTTTTACTCAGCAGTTCAGGATAATCTTTAAAACAATGTTCACTTATCCATATTGGTTTTAGTATTTCATGACACATTATATCCTTATCAGTTATGAAACGAGAAACGGTGATTTTATTGCTCAAAGAACGCAATTTATTTGCTTCCAGTTCAGTTATTACTGCAATTTTCTCTACTTCTTGATGAAAACTTTTTCTCAGTTCTGGAATTGAGCCAACCTTACTTCACGACATTCTTCCTATAAAAAAAATATTTCATATATATATTTCGTTTATATATTCTACAAATGTTTCTTACAGCTTTCTTATTGATGGTTTATTCTCAGCACTACCAACACTCAAATATTTTTACTTTTACTTACAATTGACGCTATTTGCACCACAGAAAGAAATGTTTTCATCAACTTCTTCGGACACTTCGGATACTGAATCAACCGAAACCTACTCGTCTTCCGAACAACTAACCAATGACGACAACAAACTTTTGTAGTTGTAGTTCTCAAATAGATATTTCTAGAAAATTGACATGCCATACAGTACGTCCGAATATCTGCTTAAATTTGTTGCAACTGTACTAATTTAGTCTAAACGAACAAATATATGCCGTACTTTGTCTTATCCAATTTGTACCACATAAACATAATTACAATATTATATAAAAAAAATTTAAGATATTTATTAAAAAACGTATACTATATGTAGTTGCGATTGCTACTGAATTGTCACTGAACATCCATACAGACTATAATACACGCGCACGCATTTCTCAATAAATTGGAAACTTCCAATATTTTTTCAGTAAGTTGGCCCACCTGAATTTGTCTAGACGTTTTAAAAAGTAAGTGCCTATGTTTCCAGTTATATTTCTGCAACACCCATTATAAAATTGCTCACTATTACGTCGAATATCTGAAATTTTACGTTGATTCTAACGTTTTCCTATTCATACTTTTATACGGATAATTGAATGCATTGTTTACTATACCAACTATACTATATGGACATGTTGTAGAGATGATCATACTATATATTATCGTTGATCGGAGTATTTATTGGGAATATTTGTTGTCAAAGTAACACCGTGTTTCCACTGCTTACAATACATTTGCACTGTTCCAGTTAGACAGTTGCTAATTTATATTAATGAGTGAACGTTCACATTGGAATGAGCTTCTTTATGCAGCTGATAGAACTTTTAAAAACTTTTATAAACTACATAATAATATATTACACAAAAAAAAGGTTTATAATTGATACATTAAATCATTTATATGCATTTTATGTATCAATTACGTATTCAATAAATAAAAACAAAGATTTTATTAAATATTTGCCTCCCCAGTACCTTTGTTTACAGCTCAGCTGTTTTTTGTTTACATTTTATATATAAAACACATGACACATTCTCTAAATTTTGGTGATTTCCCTTGTGTTCATTTTTTAGAGTTACTTTCGACATTTTTCACTTCAAATAATCTGATTTATTGATAATGATCTCATTTATATGAGAGATTTTTGTGTTATAAATCATTTTCATTAGTGGCTATGATAAGCAAACCCACCTAAATGAGACAGTGTGAATGTTTTATTACTTAGTAGGTGTAACTAATATTATGCTTTTATGCTTATTTAGTAAATTTAACTTACTAAATAAATATCATTAACCGTGCAAAGAGCTTTCATGGTTTTTAACTTACTGGAATATATAGTGAGCTAAATTAGACCAAAAATGTCGAATACAACCCTTAAAAAAAAAGTTCCCATTTTAGAAATCACTAAAATGTACATATAAAAATGTGAACAAACGCACTTAGAAAGTAAGTATTTAAAAGAATCATTGTCTTTATAAATTTAATATAAATTTGATATATAAAATGTTTATAAATGATTTAATATATTAATGTTAAATGTTAAATATTGATGTAACATGTTTATGTGAATGTTAAATATTTTGTGTGATTTATTATTGAGTGAAATTTTTGCATACAAACATAAGATCTTTTAAAACTTTTAAAGAACTTTCTGATACATGAAAACTGTGATGAGTAACTTAAGCCAATGGAAACGACAAAATCTTAAATTTGCGTAATTAACTTACTAAGTAAGAAGTGGAAACATGGTCCTCTATAACTTTTTTTGTACTGCTCAACTTTTTTAGTCATGTAGTTGCTGGGGTTAGTTGTGCGCATGTATAAAATGTTATATGATAGTGCTTCATCGCGTTTCAAGGACTTTAATAATATATATATATATATATATATATGTATATATATATATATATATATATATAATATGATATATGTATAATATATATGTATAATAAAAGTTACTGAGTAAAGAATAAAAAATAGTCGTGTATAATAAAGATATATGTGTGGTATTTATATATTATCACTTTATTAATAAGAAAACTATCTATATTATAAATATCTTTTGTAAATATTTATTATATTGGAACATATATTGCTTTACACGTGATTATGTGAAATCAGGTCTGTTCCATGAGCTACTAGTAGTAACTTTAAGTAACACTGTGTATACACAAGTGCGTTCGAGTAAAAGAAAGCATCTGAGAGAGCGTAACATCCCTGTCGTGAGTTAAAAAATGCTACAAAGACTTTACTGGTTCATTTTTTTTCAAGTAAAATTTGTATTGATGTGTGAATCAGCTGTTTTGATATTAATTCAAGTTTTTGTGTAGTTATTTTGTACATATATTATATTTTGTATATATATTATATATTGTATATATATTTACGCGGTACTGATGTTCTCACCAGACTTTACACAAATCTGTTCCATGAAAATCTATATAAGGAGCGTAATTTGGAACTTTATTTGTGTTACGCTCTCTGTTTTTACTTTAGTTGTGTTTTACTTGAGTTTTACTACGAGTACCTGGTGGAATAGAACTATTTTCTCTTGCTTTTGAGGAAACTGAGCCATTAGATAGTTGCTGTTTGTACTTTGGTCCTTACTTATGTATTAATCTGTATATTGCACATGATATTTTCAAACTCATATAATTTTTTATATATGTAGACACCATAGTCTGGCAACACTAAACTTAAACTGACAAAGTTGTAAACTTAAAATGACAATTGTTTAGTTTCGTTTTCTGTTACGTTGGTCGTGTCATAGCACGAAGTCATGGTTTAGTGTGTGAGACGCGGGACTTTATTACTGTGATTTGTAAATATATAATTTTAGATTATTAAATAGCTGTACTACTTAAAAGTGAATTTCTTTGGGTTTTTCTATTGAGTTAGACGGAGTGTTTTTGCATAAATTAGCTTAGTATAGATTTTGTTTAAATGCCAGCAAATTTTGAAAGTTCTTGGAACCGGCATTATTAGACTCAAATTGTGATTGATTATTTCAGTACTGCGAGTTAAAGCTGTGAATAGCTATGCAATAAAAGATCATGTTTTTAATTATTAAACTCTATGCTTAATAATAAAAACATTTTAAAGTAATTTACCAATTTCTGTTTTGTAGAAATTTCACTGTGGAAAGAACTACGTCTACACGCCAAGTTCCAATATGGCAGACGGCGCCACACCGCCAGAGCTAATCAGAATAGACACCGCAAAGTGTAAGTGAATTTATATGATAAAACATTTTTTGACATTTTGTGTATATATTTATAAGAATATAATCATTTATAAGTTCTTCCCTGAAACAATTATCTACAAAATAGCATATAATATATTCTACAGAAGCAAATATACCACTTATTTAGATATATATATGTAATATTTCGTAACAGATTGTGTAGCTGCACCTGCTTAATATGTTATATGAAAATAAGTAGATATCAGATGCATTTCTGTTTTCTATCCAACGCCTCACTAATAAATTTATTATTTTTAATTGTACCAGGGTTTATTCCATGCAACTTTCACCATCACTGTATGTCGGTATAGTTGAACTCTAGATATATTGGGGTATAAAGTTGGCAATAGATGGCGTGAGTAGTTGTCATAAACATTATCAATGGAAAAAGTTAACAATTTTAAACCATAACATATTTTCTTAAGTAACGAACGATATCGACACTTAATAAAGTGGACAAGTTGCTGAAAATAGTTGACTCTACTTAATTATATTGTCAATTCGTTATGATCAATAAACTAAAATCGTGAAAAGTTGTAAATCTTTATGTGGCAAACATCAGTTTATATTAATTACAGTTTGTGTAATCTATATGAAAATTTCCAATAATGTTTTTTATATATATTTTATTAGTTTTCACGCAGCAAGCTGATAGTTCCAATTTTGTTCAACTCAACGCTTTTATCATAGAATGATAGAATTTTTATTAACTGGGTTGCTTCGGTAATTAATGCCACCTTCAAGCTGGTAAAGCTGGCTCGCTAGCTGGCTGATTAGCTAGTAAAGGCTGTTCGCCAAGGGGCACACACACAGAGGACTACAGACAATAACTGCGTACTATCGCTTCTGATCTTATCTTACATGGAATTATCCATATCTGGTTAAGCCTACCGTACATCTTCTTCGACTACTATTACTACAGCACTGGAGTAAGAAGATTGGGTTTAAACTAATGCAGTATTTTCGCACAAGACTTTTGAGCTTGATCTTACGTTATGAGAATAATCGCTACCTCTTTATTAAATAATACATATACACCTCTCCTGCAATTTATTGCTTAAAATGGTAGAAGCAAACCGATAACCGATTCCTTTCTTAAATGACATCACAACAATTTTCCATATCAGGTGCGTTTTTACAGAAAATATATCAATAGCTTCCCGGGGCACCACGCGATTTACCCAAGACGGCGATTACCAACCCAATTAGTTTGTTGGAATTCCGCTTTATGACGTTCGCCCTACGAATTAACCCAAACATTTTAACCAGACCACGCAGTAATTGTCTTGAAAATTTTCAAATTAAAAGTTTTGAGTGGTATCGCTTTAATCAGTTCTATTAATAATGTATGATATATAACCTTTCTGTATTGATCGCTTCTTTACAGACATATGATTATTACGCAGTACATAATTATATAAGAATTTAGTTATTGTTATTATGTGTATTAAATATTTACTTCTATACGTTCACAGTTTCAAAATAATTAAATTTAAAACTTCTCTCAAACAAATAGTAACGTATGGGTCAGCGACTATAAAGAGCAAGGCTTTTGTTGCAGTTGATATGGATGGCAACGGATATGAAAGTCAATCACTGAAATCTGCAGATGAGGCAGAAAAACGTGCAGGAGACTTATACAAGGCAGGATTTAAAGAGCAAAATATGCGGAAACTAATCCAGCTTTATGAAAG